AGACTGATCCTAAGTTTAATAGTCACTTATAGATGTAGTGGACCCAAATAGAAACCTAACTCCTGTTCCACAAGGCAGGACCCTGAATAAATTGGGTTTCAAACGGGATAAATACAAACATTTTTAAGGTAAATTAGGGGTGTATTTAGTGCTTCAGATGGAAGAACATTTTCATAATTGGCGTCGTTTAATTAAGAAATTGAAAATTGGCAAAAGCAAGTAAATTTAGAGGGGATGGATAGATTAACTTCATTTAGGTACAGTAAAAGTATTTTCATTACATTATTTGAACTTTCACCAGTCGTATAAAAGTCGGCAAACTTGTTTTTAGTATTTCCTCAATGGGTATAGGTATACTTATAGGTACTTGTAGCAGTTGCAGCTACTATACAGGGTGGTGATTTGCGCAACGCATCATAGGGATTTCAATGTAAAATTCAAAATGTATCAACCGTATTACTTTTTAATTTGTTGCATAATAAAGACGGAAAATTGGAAAAATAAAACCCGCATCTTTTTCAATAATCTGCTATGCCATGGAATTCTCTAAAACAAAAAGACATCCAGTTATCAATTAGCAGCAGTTCGAATTGGATTTTATGATCGACTTGGTTACTGTCTTGCAGTTAACGGTGACTTATTCGAACATTTAGGTATTGTAAATTGTTATAAGTATTAGGAAACCGTTTTTATAGTAATTTGGTCTTTTTTTACGTTGAATTCGCGGTTCTAAATATATAATACTTTTTGATAGAATTTGATTTGTTTTATAGCAGGCATTCCATGGCATGACGGATATTGGCGTAGTTTTTGTATTATAAAATTCCATGGCATCACAGATTATTGAAAAAGATGGGGGTTTTATTTTCCAATTTTCCGTCTTTATTATGCAAAAAATTGAAAACTAATACGGTTGATTGGCGTAAAAAATTTTTTTCTACAAAAAACCTTACTAATACATTTTTGCTCTAAAATAATTTGGGGAGCCATTAATCGCATGTTATGAATTTTACATTGAAATCCCTATGAATGCGTTACGCAAGACACGACCCTGTATATTCAGTTTGATCAGTATATAGGTATACTGGGTATATGATCAGTATACCAAAAGCATATTAGGACATTACCCATTTCAGATAGACGTTTTGAATGTTAACCCCTACATACTCACCCCCGAATTCGTTTCAAACGTACCTACATACTTCTTCGTTCGTCACATATATAAAATGACACACCCTATGTCAAACGCGATGAAAACTCTTTGTTACAAATTGCAGGGTTAAGACTTATAATTTAAAACTCTGTTAGATTCAGTACCCGGATGTTGCAAAAAGGGTTCTTTTATGTGTCCACCGGAAACGTTAGTAAATTGAATTAATACTTAGCAATTACATGAGCCATTCTTCATCTTAAGAAGCATTTATTGCACGGCATGGGGCTTCAATGACCGCGTGTCTGTACCATTACCGCTATAGGAGATCGCGTGTCTGACAGTTGGGGCTTTATATCTCTATACGTATATATGTACCTACATCTGCCTCTCCATATACTGATCAATATTTTCTGTTACACAAATTTGTTGAATGGGTCTAGGTACCTATGTGTGCGCGTGTTTTGAAAAATTCAATGCTCGTTTCGGTGCAATTTGCGTATATGTAGGTATATTGCACTGTTCAAGATAAGAACGTCTGTAATGGGGATCTCCGAAACCATAGAAGATATACGACGATGGTCAAATTAGAGAAAAGAAATTTGCCGAATTGGTTTTTTTTTCGATCTTATTTGAACAGATAGGTACAAAAAAATAAAACATATTTTCTCATTGCCACGTTTGGAGCTCTACAAGACACCATTGAGCAATTTTCAATACAACGTTTCGTTTCGCAAAAATCATTACCGCAACAAAAGTTGGAAACTGTTGGTTTCAACAGGATGGTGCGTCCGCGCAGAACGCCCTAATCGTGCGAGAATACCTATCGGACAATTTTTTTTCCTTTTCCAGGACATTTGTCCGATAGGTATTCTTGCACGATTGAGGCGTTGTGCGAGGGTGCACCATCCTGTTGACACCAACAATTTCGAACTTTCGAATTTTATTGACATTCGCGAATAACTGTCACTAAAAATGGATGCTATTGTTCATAGACAGGACTCCATGGAAACGCATATAGTAAAAATCGTGCAAAAAAGTACCACTTTCCATATACGATTTTTCGTTTATAAAAATCCGATAATTTCATCACTATGTAAAAAACCATATTTAATGACTGCAAAAGTAAACGGTAATAATTAGAATGTGTTAAATTATTATTTTCGGAGGCTTGAATATTTTAAACGGCACGAGTATACGTTGTTTTAATTGAATTTGGTAGCATTTGTCCCCCTAATTTCAATGATTAATATCAAAGTTACTTTTCATTGGAATTTTTCACACAAAAAATTAAAGAAGATACTTTTCAAGATTTATTGTAGCATGCCATGAAAACAACCATTTTTACGCATCGAGTGGAATCATGAGCAAACAGTAATTACTCTACGATGCGATATATGAATCAGTAGGTATACCTACTATGCGATCAAAAAAGAGTTGCTGTCGAGTTACCTTTGGAATTTTTGTTTACATGGAAAATCATACAATGCGATCAAATATGAGTTGCTGTCGAGTCACCTTTGGAATTTTTGTTTACATGGGATGGGTAATCGTATACTTGAACTTGAACTTGAACTTCCAAAGGCGCCTCGACAGCAACTCATTTTTGATCGCCCTTATTACTATACAAAAATGCTGTTAATTCTACAGAAATTGCTCAAATTTGCAACCATTTTGTTCAATGCATAATTGGCACAATTATTGCTCCATACACTTGCAGGAAAATGGTGGTTGAACGAATTTAGATTTAGTAGAGCGATATGTGGAGTGTTGTTGAATATATAAAACCCGTTTAATTGTGCAAGAGGTAATTCTTCCTAGTGCTGTTGATTGAGAGTCCCATCAATAAAAAATGGTCCGATTAATTGATTACAAAAAATTCCACACCAACATACATTTAAACTAAATCTTAGCTAGAAATTATATAGTTTCCACCAGTAACTCGGGGATTTCCGCGGTTCCAATTGCGATAAATATCTCGATTAAAAATTCCATTGTTGCTATACCTACATTCATCCGACCAAATAATTGTTCTAAAAAACAGTGATGGAACTTGTTGCAATTGATTTAGATAGAAATTGCAAAATTCTATGCCTGTGATAATTATCATTATCTTCCAGTGCGTCTACTTTTTGCGGAATGTAGTATTTAAACAATGGTAATAGGTATATATATAACTTCATTTTATGTCGTTTTAAATCTGCATAAACTGTTTACATACGATTTCACGAGTAGAACTTTCTGTGTGACATTATAAGGCATCAAAACATTCAATTCAACGTCCACATTTTAAAAATGACTACTTCTCTCTCCGGTTTCTTAAAGGAACTTACAGGCGCATTGCTATACCTATAGCCCACGGTTTTTATTGCACTTGAAGTACACTTGCAACATATCAGTTAATTGATTTAAAACTCATTAAAAAAATCAAGCCATCAGCAACCACAGTGAAGCGTAATGTTGTTTCCATGGCATGCTATAAAATTTCTCGCGATTTCTGTTACACTAGATGCGTAAAGAGGATTGTTTCCACAGCATGCTACAAAATTGTTTGCGTTTTTTTTTTAAGTACAATCTGTATACGAATCCATTCCTTGTAGTCAACAGATTGTCGAACAAACTGCAATGGACCAATCGTTGGTAGGAAGCTCGCACGTTCCTTGTATGGATTCAGAGCTGCCATGTGAACGGAAATCTTATAGATTTAGTTGACGGTATGCGTATGCCTAACGTGGAGTTTCACTCACAAAATATTGACGTCTTCTGGATAATGAGAAAACAGGAGTATCCAGAGTGGGCAAAGGAAGCTGTAAAATTATTAGTTCCATTCGCCATTTTCTACCTAGGTATTAGAACTAACGCGGTCTCTTCAATGTTGCGAGGGACGCAAAATTGGGCAACTTTTTAAGCTGTAGTACAATTGGCGTCTTTGAGAAACCATCAACAACGATGTCCGGCACAATATGATTCTTTATCACCTATTTCATTTAAAGTAGCCATCAATGAATTATTTTGATATTTTGTTAACGCCTATACTACTAACAGTAAAATGTTAAAAATGATTTATTATTTAACTCAGAAAAAATACTTGTTACTAAAGTTTTAACATTTTGGTTTAGTAGGCGTTAACAAAATGTCAAAATACTTTGTATTCGTATAAAAAATGCTACTTTGCATCCTGTACTCTTTTTCCGGTCCATATAAAAATACGAAGTTGATGATTGTTTCTCAAAGACGAAACGTCGCAGCGAAAATCTTGTAATATGGTGAGCTTAAAAAGTTACTTTCGGTTTTTTTAATATCTTCGGAACTGATCGGAATTTCGCATTTTTAAAACATCGATTTAGTAAACCCTAAAATGCGCAACTCTTTCTATAATTTGACTGACTGTGTATTTCTTGTTATGTGTTTGTAGTCCGTTTATGTGCAGTTGAGTTTTAAGACACTGGACTATTGCATATCAAAAATTTCATAAAACAAGACTACATGATGGTAAGAGTTCTCAATTCTCAATTGTATTAGTTGAACGGCGATTTTCTAAGATAATTTTATCCATTCTCCTTACCTGGATAGCTTTTCTTATATCTAAAAACTCCAATAACCATCATACACGTCATAGTACTTACTAATCGTTTCACTTATTATGTGTTCCAATTCCAACTTGATTGACCTCTCGATTTTTAGCAAGCAAGGAATAAGTTCAAATAATTACATAAAAGAGCGACGTGCATTGACAAAGTTTAGCTAGCTATACAGTATAATTTAAGCCGCATCGTGGTCAATGAAAACTGAATTGTAATGTAAGCCACAAAATATTGTCCATTAATTATGACGCGTACTGTACACTGCGAAATAAGTACCAACGAAACGAGCTCCCGTAGTCCGTTTTCCCTTCCTTAAAGTAATCGCGTTTACCGACATAACGTGGTTCAGTGCAAGATCCTATAATTTTGATTTCTGGAGCAATTGCAACCTCAGAGTGTGTAAATTTTTAACATTCTGTGAGTATAATACTGTAATTAAATGCTGCTATCATTTAAAGCTGCGTCTGTATTTAACTACTCTATTCAGAATAGCTTCGCGTTCTTTGTAGGTTAGGATTGTTTTCGCTTCGTATATTTTCAGTTTTCCATTTTCTAGGCAATATTTTTGCCAGAATCGCATGCTACGCTTATAAAATTTGCGGACCATCTTTCTCAATTAAAAAATGCGTTCGTTAAATACAATATTTGGAAAAATCTATTTAGTAAAGATGCAAACCATTTGCCTTCTTAAAATTGCCCTCACGAATCGCTAATGCAAAGCAAAAGAAAACGAAATTACGAGTTAAAATTATAGTGTAATTTTAAAACTTCGGGCAGTGGTATTGATAATTACATTAATACTATTTCTTGAATTGATGGTAAATTTAAAATTGCAGTTTACCGTCTTCGTTGCGCTTACGCGAAACTTATTATTAAGCTGGGATTTTAAAATTTCTGCAGTTTTACAAAAATATACGTTACAATTTTGATATCAGATTGAAAGTTGCTATTTTGCGGAAATTAAGTTGCAGTTTATAATTTCTGTTATTATTCTCGGATAGTAGAATATTTTGCATACGATTACTCCCATACTTACCTACCTACCTTTCCGAAGAAAACGCGAATCGATCTCGAAAATTCGCACAAAATGAACCTTATTAGTGTATACTTTTCTCATTTTCAGTAACATAGGATGCCGCCCAAAAAAGCAGTCGAACCGGAACGGAAACCTCTCATTGGAAGAGTTGGGACAAATTTAAAAGTCGGAATCGTCGGCGTCCCGAACGTTGGAAAGTCGACGTTTTTTAACGTAATTACGAAAAGTGCGGCGGCAGCGGAAAATTTTCCATTTTGCACTATCGACCCTAATGAAAATAAGTATTTTTTTTATTTATACCTCACGGTCCCATTCTTTTTGCGAAACAAATTCGGCTTTTAATAAAACTGGCATTTCCAGAATTTACAGGCGATTCTAAGAAATTGGATTTTATTTCGTGGAAATCATTTGCGATTTCTGATGATTTCTCGAAAATCACTTGATATTGTAGGTATTGATTTTGCGCATTGTTTGAATCAAGGTAGTCGTTCAAATCTGCCGTGCTATCGCTCATGTCTTGGTTTATACAGGGTGTCCAATTAGTGCGATAAAGGATAACGCTACAAAAAAATTGTTTGCTGACCTAATCGGCATAACGCAAAAATATTATTGTATGTACAGAGTGCTCCATAAATGTGGCATGACAAGCAACTGTGTTTTTTTAAATAGAAAATCAAAAGTTGGAAACTGTTGGTTTCAACATGATGATCCACCCGCGCACAATGCCCTCATCGTGCGAGTATACCTATTGGACAAATTTACCAGGAAATTGTTGTACGTGAGTGCACCACCCTGTTGAAACCGGCAGTCTCCAACTTTTGTTTTTTTTTGTGTGCCGTATATTGTTGTATTCGTAATAGAAAATACAACTCAGTGCTACAGTGTGCTCTGTTTTTGCAGACCTTATAAAAAAATAAAGTTGATGATGATTTCTTCGAAATGAAACATGGTATTAAAAATCTCTAAACCGTCCAAAAAGTGGCAATGAGAAAGTGTTTTTATTTTTTTGAATCTGTTGAAATAATATCAGAAAAAATAACGAAATCTCTAATGTGACTATCATCGTATCTTCCTTGATTTGGGAGATGCCCATGATAGACATCCTTTTCCTTTTGAAATCAAAGGTTTTTTTGAAATAAAGGGAAACGGGAGACCAATTTTAATATTTTCTTATGTGTCAAAATTTTTTTGGTAACAATCATTATTCATACCAAACTTATGAAACGGACGTTAGTTTTTGGTTTCTTGGGGGTGCACTTGTGTAACTTTGGTGGTTCCTCGTTAACAAGGTTTCACCCGCAGCACATTTTCTGATATCAACTGACTTCCGAGGAATTTCCACGCAATGATTTCTGCGATTCTTACAGAATGGACACTCCTTTTTCTACGTACCTAATGTTCGTACGGCTGACAGTTTTATTTTTCAGCAAGTCGCGTTCCAGTTCCCGATGACCGATTCGATTATCTTTGCAACTATTTCAAACCCGCAAGGTAAGTTTTAGGAATCTAAAAATTAGTCATTAGCGTAGAGATTGAATATTTTTAAACTATCTGATAAAGTGGTGTGTGTAGGTACCTACGTTGTTCCCACCGTCACCCTGGCGCCTTCAAATTGGCAGCTCCGTCATTAGATGTGTCGAGTTGACCAACGCAATTATCCGCTATGCCCAAATAATATACCTCGTCGTAGAAAATGTTATGCGTCTATTTTGTCAAGTCGACGCTATTAATAAGGTTAAGCTCCTTCCTCTCGAGGAAGGCAGTTATTTTTAATTTTATAAATTAAATTCCATCCAAACTGATATACCGCGTATTTACTATACGCCTGAAGGAAAGCGGAAACCTCTCGTGTAGTTTCGATTAGAATTATTAGCCACTATTTAGAAATTATAGCTCCATTTGAAATCAATTTTCATGTCGCGCCGAAACAACTGTCTACCCCACTTTTACGATGGGCTTTTCAGTTTAAAACGAACTACTTTGTGTAATCCCATAATTTGTATATAAGACAGAGAAAATGCCTTAATTTGAATAACGAAAAAAGCGGGGCCGGGGAAGGGGGTGTTAATTTGGTAACAAGTTGGCTCACTTCCATATCTCCACCAAACAATTGTAATACGATTGTAAAATTTTGTTTACAAAAGTGTATAAAAAATTGTTTTATTTATTCAACTTTTTTATTTCATATAATGGCCATGCATAAAATCCAAATCAGTTGGAAAAAAAAAAGTTGGCGCTCGGTTTCGTTTTTACATTCAACTGTATTATTATTTCTCAACTTCATTTTTTTCATTATCTACCAGTTATTTCTTTTGTTTTACTTTATTTTTGCGATCTATACCATTTGCTATCACAAGTGTTTGTAATGTTTTTGGTTACATTTCCGATCACTTGTTTTGTTAATTTAGTTTTATACTTACATCCAGTATTTATTAATTTTTCCTCTCAAACTTTGTCTTACAATTTTACGTTTGGTTTTATTTGGATCATTCGGTGCGTAAGTCTCTTTGATTATAACTTACTTACCTAAATGCTGCTTACAATTTTACATGCACAAATGGTTTGGTGGGTTTTGCAATGCATGCAATTTCGTTCATTATAGTAAACAAAAAGCTACTCAATTTATTCGTCAGTTACATACAGTTGTTTGTTGTATAGGGACACAGCAAGGAGGATGGGCCTAAAATAGCTCTTGAAAACTTTTGGAAACCCTAAAATACTTTCAAATTAGGACTCCGCTAACTTTGACATAATCCTAGATATTTTTTGTTGCTCTTAGAAAATGCTTACAATCCTTAAAGTTTCTTAAATCAAGGTCTTTGGGGATCTTGGAAAGCCATGGAACCGCGTAAAATGTTTTTCAATATTTTGAAAGCCTTTTGACGTTTAGAGTCTTAGAAGCTTTTAAAAGCAAAAACCTTGAACCCATTTGGAAAACCTCGTAAAAAGGTTAAAGGACTTTCAAACGCTTTTAAAAGTTTGCTTTATTAAAAAGACCCTTTTCCAACGAACTTATATTCGATATACACGGTGAACCAATAGTGTGTGGACGGATTCTTGTGGGTTTATTAACGTACATGTTCGCCGCTTGAATATGATGAATCTTTAAGGCTACAAACTTTGATCGGAACCCATACACAGGGTGATTCACTTCAAAGATACCATTTTTTAAATTGAAGCTGCGTATATAATTGCCTATTTGGATTCCTTCGGTAATTTTAGTAAGTTTGCGTCACACTTGTTATCTAAACCGAACGATTTAGCCGCAAATCGAAATTTTTAAAACAATTGGAGTATCACAGTAATTGTCAAACTACCTACGCATGTGACTGTGAAATTACTTACCATAAAATGTACCATTGTGAGCCGGGCGGGCAGGGGCGAATTCTTTTTTCGTTTTGAGAAATCGATTTGCCAATCATTCATAGATTACTTGATTTTTTGAAATGCAATTCCGCACTTTTGTATTTTGTTTAATGCGAAATTTCATCAGCTTTTTAACGATGTAAGGTCATCCATATCATATCTTTGTTTCTTTTAATTTCGCATTTTTTAAATTTTTCATACATAAGTTGCTAGTAGGCCGTGGAAAATTAATAAATGTCAAAGTAGGCCGTAAACAATAAACAAATGTCAAAATTGACTTTGTCATTTGTAATTATTGGTTCCTACGTTAGACAAAGGTTCTCAGTTTTAGTTTTGCTATTATATTTTCGGAATTACGTTAAAATAAATTAAGGGCAAGTCTGAAATCTGCCTTTAACCAAGAAAATGAATTCAATATTTTAACAGCAATTATAGAAATTTCGCAGTATACAAGACAAATTGGAATTGGAACAGGATGTTGAAGTAAAATATCTATAGAATAATTAAAAGAAAAACTCCTTGAAGATTTTCCGCAGACATGTCATCTTTCTTATTTATGAAGATATCTTTTGGAAATTTTAACCAAAGATTCTTCTAGTAAACGCATCCATATCGCATATTTTAAACATCAGTAGGCAGGGACGGACCTACACAAAAAAATTGGGGGGGCAGACATGACATTTTGCCAACTCAACTGTAAAAATTTCCAACTCAAACGGAGTAGTATCTATTAAGATTAAGTGGTATTTTCAAGTCTAATAAATCATGTAGAAAATGTAGGATATCAGTATACGGTCTCTAATACTAATTAAAAGCATTACCAAAATACCAACCTTGTGTTGAAGAAGGAAGTGACTTTCCTATTAAAGAGTCTTTTTTTATAGATTTTGCCGCAATTCCTCATTCCTTCAATGGTCGATTTATTACATTTACGATTTACCTACTTTCGCGGCATTCGCCAACTGGTAATGAAAATTACCAACTCTTGTCAAAATTGCCAACTAGTTAAGTATTGGAGGGGCAGCCAGCCCCCCCTTGCCCCCCCCCCCCATAGGTCCATCGCTGTCGGTAGGTGCTGCGCAATATGCTAAGTTTTTTTTACAAGTATTTATGCCAGAACTTGTTTTTCTTTTTTCATTTTATTTCGTTCCAGCTCATTATTCGAGTTAAGTTAAGTAATCATTTAAAGTAAATATTAAAAACGATTAAAAATAATTTGAATCGCTTATTGTTTATTTTCCACGGTCTATTAGCTACCTATGAATAAAAACATTCAAAAAGAACATCAAATCGCCAAAGAATGCAAATGCCAATAGATACTACCAAAGATAGATATCAATAACGAGCTGGTGAAATTTCGCATTAAACAATAAAATAAAAAAATATGGAATTACCTTTCAAAAAATCAAGTTATCTATGCATGACATTTTCTGCAAATCGATTTCTCAAAGCAAAACCAGAATTCGAATCTGCCCACCCGTTCAGTTTACATTGGTATATTTTATGGTAATTCCACCGCGATATTCAATTTTCTACGGGTTGCGCGGCTATATACCTTTCCTTTTAGATATCAATGTGTGATACAAAAGTCACACTAAAATTACGCCAGGAATCCAAAAATGCAATAAAATACAGGGGGGATATGAATCACCTTGTGTATCGGTTCCGATCAAAGTAAAAATATTTTAGGTTTGTAGCCATAGGTAAGGGTGTTCCACCATGCCCAACTTCAGAAATGTACGTTAATTAATAAACCCACAATATTCCGACACACACACTGTTGATGCTCCACCATGTATGTATCAATAATTTGAGTACACGCAGTACACATTATGACCTTTCTGCTTTTGACTCTTCATTTTTGACGGTGGAAATATTGACAGAGAAAAATACTATACAGGGTGGTGACTTGCGTCACGCATCATATAGGGATTTCAATGTAAAATTCGTAACATGCCATGATTGGCTCCTCAAATTATTCAAAGCAAATTTTTGTAGAAAAAAAATTTGTTACGTCAATCAACCGTATTAGTTTACAATTTTTTGCATAATAAAAGCGGAAAATTGGAAAAATAAAACCCGCATCTTTTTCAATAATCTGCGATGCCATGGAATTTTATAATACAAAAACTACGCCAATATCCGTCATGCCATGGAATGTCTTCTATGAAACAAATCAAATTCTATGGAAAAGTATTATATTTAGAACAGCGAATTCAACATAAAGAAAGACCAAATTACTAATATAACAATTTACAATAAATGTTCGAATACGTCACCATTAAGGTTTGGATTTAGAGAGTATAGGCAACTAGTGATGCACATGTAATTCAATGGGGCGTGCATTGCCTCTGAACTTCATTCACCATTCCATAAGCAAGGGGTGTATATGATCGGAAAAATATGCATTAGGTAGATAGATGTACAGAGCATAGTTTCCATACAATATAAACTGATATTTTGTCCACTAATATATGTTTAAAAAATCCAGAAAACATGCGTCAAAAGAGTTCATAGTTTAGGAATTAATTGCAAAAATTAGGGAGCAATTTAAGCAATACGGGTGTATGGGATCGGTAGCGTGAATACTTATCTATATTTTGGCAATTCATGTGAAGCTCAAAAGTTTTCATAAAAAAAGTGGTGAATGAAGTTCTGAAAAATGGGCATGTAAACTGGAGAAATGGAAATAAACTACGCAGCTGTGACTAATATCGCGGTCAACAGTGTAGCTTCTTTCTCACAGAGGGTGCCACCAAGAGTTTTAGGAAGTCAGTAAAAAATACGATAAAGATATGAAATAGGTAAGCGCTTTTATCTTGCGATGGAGTTGTTCTTACTTTTTAACTAGGCTAGTACTAGTACTGTGTAATGGGGATAATAAAAGACCAAAAATTTAAGAGCAAAAAAAACTAGCAGGCTATGTAAGTTGCCTATGCTAAATCATTTAGCGATTCTCTTTCAAGGTTGAACAGAGCGTGAGTGTAATAGAATTTGCTGACAGCAAGAAAAAGATCGTTCACTGGTAGGTATATTATTATTTTGTCAACTACTTGCTTCGAAATTTATTTGGTTTCTCTTTCCTATTCATTGTAAAAGGTACCTCCTCTACCTATCGTTTTATGAAATAAATAATAGAAATGGGGATAGGTAACATTCCTTTACAACAAATATCAAAATTATACCTAATTTTTAGAACAAAGGGCTGTTGTATATTGTTGTTGATGTCTGGCAAGATGCGACCTTGTGTGGGTGTTTATTTGTAATGCGATTTGTTTGACCGTCTTCCCTATTCTTTATCTTTGCTGATTGCAGATTAAAATACCGTAATTTATAATCCATACCTTGTTGCAAATTAAATTTTTTGAACTTCAATAGTTCCATTGAATAAAGCTCTTTATTCAATGATAGTACCTATTACATATTAGCATTGAATAATAAATCTGATTTATTATTCAATGATATTAGTATTAGTTTAGTCAGTTTAGTGTAATGTGTAATAATTGACCTATACAGGGTGATTCAAATTCAAAGGCCACCATGGGGATCTCGGGAACTGTAAGAGATAGGTAGAGGTAGTTTACATTTGACAAAGTTACCCTTGATGGTAACATCATCTATTTTTAATAAGAAATAACATTAATTTGTAAAAACACAAGAAACTACTTACGTACGTTACTTAAGACAAAGGCAAAAAAGATATTTTACAAGCATTAAAAAAATTGATGTGTACATTTTTGAAATCAGAAAAAAATTCTCTATCAAATGACACAAAAAGTAAAAATTACTTCCATAAGAAACAAAGTTGATGATAGTTAACCGGAGACGAAACGTCAAACTTCAAATTTAAAAGTAGCATCTTGTAGAGGGAAAAAAGTGGCCATAATAATGTGTCATTTATTATTAAATATCTTTGTAAACAACTATTAACTTCAGTAAAAAACAAAAACGATTTTCAAAATCTCGTTTTTTCCGGATATCTCCGAAAGTAGTCAGAATTTTCAGTTTCAAAACTGTTTTTGTTAAGCATCAAAATACACAACTTTGCCAAATTTACCACCTACCTATCTCTTACAGTTCCCGAGATGCCCATGGTGCAGTGCCGGATTTAGGGTTTCTGCCGCTGTGGGCAAACATTTTTTGCCGCCCTTGACATATCACTATATCACCATTATTACAAGGTGGGAAAAGTAAGGCATTCATTGGCTATATTTGCAATGCAATGAATGTACTAACAGATTTTATTTTTGCTTCATTTCATTTACCGATTCACCGTTTACCTAAAAAATTTGAACGCATTTTAATTTTTATGTTTTTCTCCAAATTTGCCGCCCTTACAATTTTGCCGCTGTGGGCAATTGCCCACGTTTGCCCCTTATATAAATACGGCACTGCCATGGTGGCCCTCGAATTTGAATCAGCCTGTATATTACTAATTTACAAAAGACCATCCCTCGAATGTAAGACATGGGGAACAAATGTATATTTAGGTATAAACGGCTAAAAAATTAAAAAAAAATCGGTAGATATACCGTATGTCCCCGGATTGACCTTTACAAGAAGAAAAACTTTTACTATACTTTTTGACAAAAATACATTCCCCATAAAAGCTTTTGCTTGTTCTAATTCGAAATTTCCCTACCGTTTCAGAGAAAAATACAAAAAAAACGAAAATATGGTTGAACTTTTTCCAAGTCCTAAAAGTCAAAACGCGTCTCTACTGTAATAACACTTCGTTAGTTACAAAGTCTTCGTTACCTGTTATTTGAATAGGCACTAGGATCGTTTTATAAGTATAACACACTTCGTAATGACATTGAATAAAAACCTCTTTATTCAATGGTAACAATGAAAAAGAATTGAATTTCCAAAGGTGTTTTCTTTAAAATGTCGGAATCAAGAGTTTTACTGAAGGCCCTTCCAAACAAAAAGCCCCTGTCGCCACTTGTGAACCAATTTTACGATCTTAATTTTGAAAGTCCCCCATGCCAATAATTACGCGATTTTTACTTCATACGTTAAAAGCGGTTCATTATTCTCCTCAAGTTATGTGTGGTAGAGCGCTAAATATAATTTTGTTAACCTAGCAGTCTGTAAGGAGCCGTGAACGACCTTGCGTTTGTGTTTTGTATTTTCTTGTCGTGTGGTTATGCAAATCAAATTGCATTTTTTTTAAAGCTCCCTCTGTGTTGTTTGGGGCCCACTTAAAGAGAGTATAATGATTTAAATATTTGTATAGAAAACTGCTGTAGTTACGCTATTCATTATTAGGTACCAGCACATTCTAACGAAAAAAACTTTGTCCTTTACTATGGGTACTTCTCTTTTCAGGCAATCCCAGCCTTAACTGCAAGACTGTAACCAAGTCGATCATCCATTTCGAACTGCTGCTAATTGATAACTGGATAGTTTTTGTTTTAGAAAATTCCATGGCATGGCAGATTATTGAAAAAGATGCGAGTTTTATTTTTCCGATTTTCCGTCTTTATATGAAAAAAATTGAAAACTAATACGCTTGATTTGCGTAAAAAAATTTTTTCTACATACAAAAAACCTTAATACATTTTTGCTCTAAAATAATTTGGGGGGCCAATAATGGCATGTTACAAATTTTACATTGAAATCCCTATGGTGCGTTACGCAAGTCACCACCCTATACGAATATGTAACAGGCGATTAAAAATGGATTGACGTCTAGTTGCCTTTGGAAGTTCAAGTTTTAAATTATATGCGATTTCCCATGTAAATTTTTACATTTTCCGGATCTTTTACAATTTTGCGACTTATTCGAATTTTTCGAAATTTGAATTTGATTGTGTTTAGTCAAGAAATTACTATAACAAAATAAATAGCAAATTTTGGGTATGAGATTGTTTGGTTGGTTAAATAGGATGTTATTTACTTAAAATGCGATCTGAAATTTGCGCGGTTCATTTAAAAGAATACATTGGGAAATTGTAGATACGAATATATGTATTGTGCTTATAATGTTTCCTTTATTAACGCAATGTTACTGTTGAATAAATAAATAATGGTATTTGTAAGTCTATTTAATAATTAGATACCCCCGCATTCATACTAGCAGGAATATGCTATGTACAGAACGGTCTTTGATCCGAAGTTAATGAATACTCCCTTTAGCCACTCAATGCACCACCAAAACCATTTCTGCCTCATCAAACTTGCAAATTACATCAGAAAGTCTCACAAATGCAAATGCAGTCACCGCTTTAGTGACATTTTACCCTCAATTTTATTTTATAGCTTTTGGAAAGCTCACTCTACTGTAAAAAAGCCTGTAGATATTCAAATGCGTTGCAAAATCGTTCGCGTCCCTCGGAATAATTTCTAGAAGAGTTACAGGCATTTTATGCGCCAGAGCCGAATAAAACTTATTCCGTTTTCGGTTTAAGAAATGAATATTTCCGTATTCCGGTATCGTGCCCGAAAGACATTTTCGTAAAGTAAAAGGTCGTTTCGTGACATAATGAGGTAGTTACGGGTTTATTAAGCTAAATGTTGGTCTTTTAAGGCGGAGCGTTGTTATGGTGAAGGATAATGGCGCCGACGCCGGTATCACATTTACTAAACAGGTACACTAGATACTCTTAGGTATATATGGAATTGAACTCCATTGATAATGTATATGTATATGAAACTGTATTATTAGGTAGGTACGTTATGTTTCCACAACTGCATTATACTCTCGTAGTAGTACATTTTAATCCTATTTTTAGAGGTTTCTTTTTTCTTGTATAAATGCCAGCTCTGAATACAAGGGGTAGTTGTTCCCATTAGTGTTAGACAACTGAAACCATAGTTAGTTAGTATACAATACAATCGTATGATATAGGTAGTATAAATAACTGTGTTGCGTAGAAAGAAACCATTTTAATCTCCCACACTACAAGAGGTACCTACCTTCTGAACAATGAACATGAAGTTCTTCATTGAACTTTATATAATTTACAAGTAAAGTACGTATACTACCTATAATGACAAACTTACTTTCAGCAAGGTTCCGGCCTTTTTAAATGTCGTCGATATAGCCGGATTAGTAAAAGGGGCGTCGGAAGGACAAGGGTTGGGTAACGCTTTTCTAAGTCATATCAGTGCGTGTGACGCTATTTTCCACCTCTGCCGTGAGTTTGCATTTTCTTTCACAAACATGTTGCATATTAACATACCCGCAGGAGCATTTGAGGACACCGACGTTACCCATGTGGAAGGCGAAGTTGATCCCATTCGAGATTTGGAAATTATTGGCGAAGAACTTAGGCTTAAAGATGAGGAACAGTTGATGAAGCATTTGGAAAAACTGGAGAGGACAGTCGTTCGTGGTAACGACAAAAAACAAAAACCAGAATATGTAAGTATCGGCGCTCGCTGTGCTCGATGGAGGTTTAAATGGCCAACAATAGCGTATCGCTGTCTGCATTTTTCATTTATAAACCGAACGAGCACAGCATGTAAAGAAATTTCAATTAATCGATTCCCCATGGGATTAATTCAATTACAACTAGCAAACACTTTGTATACAATGGATTGTGATAAGTCATCGCCCCGGCACGAGCTAACAAGCTGTGGGTTATCTGAAGGGGAAATCGGATCTATTGAATTATCATGAAATATGCGTTAATGGGATGACGATTTCTTATAGAAACTGTTTTAACAATCGTAAATTTTATTGAACGTTTCGGGATTTTGATGGCGGTCGTTTTGACTATTATCCTTTACAAAAATGTCTCGCGTTATACTTATTTTATGTTTGATTACAGGACGCCTTATGTAAAATTAAGTCTATTCTTGTCGATCAAAAGCAACACATTAGATTCGCTGATTGGACCGTCAATGATGTAAGTATTTCGTCATAGTAATTATTAAAGTGTCTGCATACAGGGTGATGACGGTTATCGTTGCCTCGAAATACTTTAGATAGAAGTGTAGGTATTAAGATTTCCAATCTATAAGTTTACATATAATTTTTAATACCATCAGTTTACTGTAAATCAGTCGGCAGGACATTCTAGACGTCTTTTGCCCGAATAAGCGTTAAATACTATCAAAAGTATATTTTTCATCAATCATGTAGGTACTACCTCCATAAAATAATTTCAAACTCACGCTTGGTTCCTTTTCTAGTTGGACAATTTAATTTTTAAAGGTGTCTTGCAGTTACGTAAGTGGTTCAAGACCGCCGCGGGTCCTTCTCCCTTTCATAATCGAAACAAATATCCCTTACCCTTACTATAAACATTTTAATGCACAGATTATACAGGATGCTCATTATGCCCTTTGAATTTTCTTTCGAAATTGGTTTTTAGTCTATAACTTTTGATTGAGAAGTCTGATCGAAAAAGTACGAATTGTTTTGGATTCTACGCACCAAAATTAATAAGAAAAAGTGTTTTCCCGAGAAATTTTGGTGCAGTCGATTTTGTTAAAAAAGGAAAGTTATACCTACACTGCCTTTTTTTGAGGCCCCAAAAAACAATTATCTCCAAGATTGGGCTACTAGTTTAATAGTTACAGTATATAGTATGTATTTGGGTAAACAAATTTTATTTTCCATAACAAGACAGCATTCAATTTTTTTTTTCAGTAAACAACTGAATAACTAATAAAGTAATAATACTCGGATAACTAGATTGATGTCAATTGTGAAATTAACTTTATAACCGTTTTTTTACATTATTTCAAGAATTTTCTAGTACCTATAAGATTTTATGTCATCGAAAAGAAAAATAATCTATCAAAGGTACATTGCTCTGATTTACGTAGTCTCAGTTTCTTTACATTTCACTGTAGGTACGCGTAGGGACTCCTTTCAGATCTTTCTTACAGATGAGGGATATACGTATTATAATCTAACATCTCTGCTTCTGATATTATTAATGTTCCCAAACACTTATTCACCTGAAATTCGTGAATTTTTAGACACAACTAGATTTTCCACTCGCGATTTCGCACGTTGGAGTGCGACATCAACGTAAAAGGAAGCTTTTTAAAAATCCTATAATCCAATCGGGCCCAATTGTGAATGTAAACCATCCGTAGACACACAGACAAATTTAATCCAAAACCGTCTAGCTGTTTAGGCGGAGTTTAATCACAAACACACGTACAGAAGAATTTTATATATAATGATATGCAGTCACAATAGCCAAAAAAGCAATGTTTATTCCCCAACTCCGTTCTAAGGTTAGCAGTTTCACAAATTTGCGGAAAATACGATTCTTATATTTTTTTAAGTCTCCCTAACTATCTGTCTGTAGACACAAAATTTAAAAACGTAAATTAATAATTAACGTCAAGATATTAAAATCAACAGAAAGTCGTTTAGTATTCCAAAATGGCGTTCTGACATCGCTTTAAGACCGTTGCCCCGTTCTAGCCTTTCCCTATGAAAATTCGAGTTTTTCCAGATTTTGTCACACTGGAATGCACTGAAGAATAAATCTCAAATCTCAGATGTTTTTTATATAAAAAATGTGACCGAATGAAAACAAAATTGCGTTATTTATATTGACTTGAATTTCCACTTTTTCCAAGATATTCCGCGGATATTCTACTAGGGAGGTCGTGGGACTTTTTTGGGAGTGATCCTGGACATGTTCCCATAAATCTCGCTTAGTAATTACAAATGGCCGCGTTTGGAGGAAAATTAGTCCAATTTTACTGTACTACAAAGTCAATTGAACGCATAGCTTCAGATTCAGTGTAACATTATTGATTTTCTTAAACTTCGCAAAATTAAGTATAGGTAATGTTTGATTTGATGGTGAAAAAACGGCCACAAATTCAAATTATGCCTATACCTTCATCTTGTGCGCAAATAACCAAATTAAGCATACCGGTTTTCTGTTCCAGATTGATATTTTAAACAAATATTTATTCCTCACGTCCAAACCTGCGATGTACCTAGTGAATTTATCCGAAAAAGATTACATAAAGAAAAAGAACAAGTGGTAAGTACGTTATAAAGACACTTTTTAGCGAAATTATCAGAATCAACTATTAAAGTTCTTTCACAAAACACAATACTTACGCACTATTTTAGTCATCTGTTCCAGTGTTATAAATCTGATTCGTGTATTGATTTCAAAGATACCCTCAAAAGCTACGAGAAAGTGTTGAAAATGTTTTCCCCACTAGGGACCGAAACACGCACTCTAAAATCTCTTTTCTCTAAAATTTTAAATAAAATTTGAGTTATCCGTGGGTAGATCTTTTTATTATGAACATAGGGATAATTGCATTGTATGTGCGAATTTTAAGAATTTATAATTGTAAATTTGGAAACAAAATGGTTCCTGGGTTCCCCTATCCCTATAGTTCTCCAAAATCTATTCAGTTGACAAAAAATAAAATATTTTCTAATGACAATTGGAATCCTTTGTGTACCTAGTTCGCATGAGACTTTTCCTAGAATAACTGTCATATTACAGGTTAGTCAAGATAAAGGAATGGGTCGACAAAAATGATCCTGGTTCAGTTATCATTCCATTTTCTGGTGCTTTTGAACAAAAATATGCCGAAATTGAAGATCCCATCATGAAACAACAATTTTTGGAGGAAAACAAAACTTCTAGGTAAGGGTATAGTCTGAATAGTTTCCAAAAATACTCCGATATTTTTATTAAGAAGTTTTTGTCGTAATCGAACAATTTGTACGTAATTAGTATGGGGCTATTAACATAAAGCTTATCTTTTGTGATAAAAATCTAAAGAAGTAGGTAACTATAAACTTAATAAACATTACGTTGTGCGGTTTATAAAATCTTCAAATACAAAAAAAAGGGGGATGAATGTGACATGTAAATGCATACCTCAAGACCATATTGCGTCTGCTAATTACATCCACATTATGTAACAAAATGACTCTTTATTTACCTACAATTTCATCGATTCGTTCTCATATTATCGCGCATTGCGAAATGATTAATTCACTATACCCCAAATGGTTGATCAATCAAAATTCCAATTCATGTATTTCAAAAATCATCTGTATAATTATATGCGTTATGTTCATCCTAGAAATCGTCTGGAAGAACTGTTCACAAAAACATAATGATACATAATACTCTTCCGCCGCAATTATATTGAGAATTTTTTGTTTCATTATTGATTTGGGTACAATAATTGACGCGTTTTTTTTTCAACAACGGAAAATTGTCAAAATGGTGGCAATATTAAATATATAAAATTTACTCAAGTTTACTATTATGGTATAAAACAAAGCTTCTATTACCAAACTCACTACCATTTCGTTTATAATTACAGGGGTTTTAAATTACCTACCATTAGTCTATTATAGTGACTACTTCATTTAATTTGTGCACTTTTTGTAATTGTATTTAAAAGCGATTGATCTTTTCTAATCTATGAATCTTTTGTTAGTGTTCTAGATAAAATAATTCTGCAAGGTTACAAATCCTTACAGTTGGAATATTTCTTCACCGCTGGCGCAGATGAAGTTAAAGCGTGGATAATTCAGGTAGGTACCTAATTGTAAGATACACTCGAAATTGTAAAAGAAATCGCTTGCTGACGCGCGTATGAATTTAAGGTGACTTTATGCTGGTTTTACATCAACATAATAAATTGATCAATTTCTTGTTCAAGTCAACATTTTTACACTTTTCACTTTTTTTGTACACAATTTCTAATCCGTACAAAACCGCATTTTAGAAGCCAGACAGCGCGTTCGATTTCTTTAATAATTTCAAGTATATTTGTAGTATTTCCGTATGTGTATACACTTATTGAATTGCAGAAGGGTACAAAAGCACCTCAGGCTGCAGGACGGATACACACCGATTTTGAAAAGGGTTTCATCATGGCAGAAGTAATGAAATTTGTCGATTTTAAAGAAGAGGGCTCCGAAACGGCCGTTAAAGCCGCCGGAAAGTACAGACAGCAAGGACGAAATTACGTAGTGGAAGACGGGGACATCATATTCTTTAAATTTAACGCGGGCGCCGGTCTAAAAGACGCTAAGAAAAAATGATTAAGAATTTTAATTGTTGTCATGGTTTACCTATACGTTAATATGATTTTTTTCTCGGAAAGTATAAGCTGTTGACAACAATATATACTTTGGTACTTGTCACTTTTTCTTACTTAACACCATTTTAATTTGGTTATTAAGTAAGGCATGCGCTAAAAAAATCCAAAATATTTAAATATGTTGGCGAGTTATTAGTTTAATTCCTAAGGACCACCTGTACAAAATACTCTCTTTTCAATGTGCTACTCGAATCCTTAAAAAAATCATAATGAAGATTTCTCAAGTGTTCTGCACTTATGGAATTACCTGCAAGCTATCAACTTCATTCTTGCTACCCGTGTGCTTTGGTTTGTTTAAATTTTACATATGTGATGATGCTTTTGTATGGTGTAATAAAAAGTTTACCCCACAATATTAATTACGACCAAACAAATTAAAGCAAATGTACATGTATAACTAAAAATCTAAACCATATAACATGATGAAACAATACATTTAGGGCAGGATCTGGAAATAAAAGCTGATGATTGTTTTAAAGCTTTCTTACAGTGCCGTGGATGGTGAGCATAAAACTCGACATTTTAGGACTTTTGGTGATTTGCTTCTAATTTGTAAACTGCCTACTTACGCTACAGCTTTGTATAACAACGATTAACGCCCCCCAGGCAGAGTTAGACAGTGTTGCCCTTGCAATACATAAAATTCATTCTGAATATCGATCTAGTTCGACCAGGATTTTCTCAATGGGACACTAACTTGGACGAGTGCGGACACTTGCAAAGAATGTAGTGCTCTCGCACGTATTGCGTCCTCTACTGGGGGTGTTTCGGCTAAGCTCATGCGATTTGCAAGTGCTTGTTTAATTTACAGTGGCCAGAAAATATGCCTACGAGCAAGCATAGGTTTTTCCTTGATAACCCTGTACGAAATCACGTCCCAGTTTGGTATTAAGGCCAATAGGACTCTGTGTTTTGCCTGGGAATCTTAAGTAATTGGTTACAGTGGACACTGCTAGTGCGAGAGCTGCGTATAGGCAATAGAATAGTTCTTTGGAGGTCAATTAGACGGCTTTTTCATTGCATTTCAAGAATGAACAAAATAATTCAATAAATTCCTGCAGGAATTCGCGGGGCGGAATCACATTTCAACGAAAAAGAAATGAGCCCTGCTGATGAGCGGCATTTAAAATGTTTGCGCATTCAATGCACATTCACGTTTTTGTATGTGCGTTTTTGAATGCGTACAAAAACGTCCGTCTGTAGGGCTCTTAAAACACATAGCGCTCGTGGAGAATTCTACCGCGACTTTAAAAGTTCTTCCACGCCTCTCTCTGACGTCTCCCAATTTTCTTTTTATATTGCCTTAGACTATTTTGTAAGTTTCCCAGTCTGTTAGTGTTTTACTTTGTTTAGCTCTTGTATGGACTTCTGCTTTAGGAGCGCTTTGCATGACCAGGGGTTTTTGTTTGCAAGGTTGCTTGGTAGTCTTGTTCAGGGCGCGAGTAAGATTAGTTGACGTTGAGTGGTATATTCCTCGAGGGGATGCAAAGAGTATATGTCCGTTGTCTTTGGATTTCGAGCACCCTTTGGAACTGCTTCTTCACATGTTTATTACAAAAGAAATCATTCTGTGATCTGGCATTATTGGCACTTCAAAGCAGACTTGTAAGATTCTCTGAGCCACTCAGGCTCAAATCAATTAATAGTCAAACATCAGTTACGAACTTAGGTTCACATCTGATTTTTTTGACTTGCGGTGCAGTATTGTTCAGTTCACCCTGTGTATGTGATATATTCTGTGGTAGTATTTTTAAGGTTATGTGACGTAAGACGTGCAAATTTGTCAAACATAAACAAAAACATTTTCGTGATACGTCCGGCGTTTGGAAGAAGAAACAATTTACAAGGGGAAGAAGTACCTACTACTTCTAGTAATTGTAATGGCAAAGTCCTACAGAGATTTTAAAGAGCTAGATTTGAATCGTGATGAGGTCGAACGGCTGACCGAAGCTTTAAAAGATAAGAACTTTAGAAATCTACTAACGGAGTACGTAGACGAAGTGAGAAACCCAGAAAATCAAAAATTATTTCAAGAAGAAATAACGCAACTAGAAAAAGAACGTGGCATTGATGTGACGTTCATAAACCCGGTGCCCGGTTATGTCATCAAGACCAGTGTAGACGGTAATCGAAAGGCATTTGTAAATGTGTGTGCCAACGCAAACGTAAGTAAACCATTTTCAAGTGTCGGGGAACAAGACGGCACTCAAGGTCGACACTGGACCATCCCGCACATCTTGGCACCTCCCAGAGAGGACTATGACAAAAAAATGGTACGCTGTCAGGTTTTTGATGTTGTTTTTCACCCGGAAACGTTGCAATTAGCCGGCAAAGTTAGAGCATTTCGTGATATGGTCAACAAAACTGCGTGTGATGCCATCGAAAAGAATTTCGGCGTGTACTTGGATCAGAAGAACTTTCGATTTCCCAAGATACAATTTAAAGGTATGACGCATCCTACCGTAATTCGGAAACCGTCGAAAGATTCGCCGCCCGAATTCAGTGCGGAAGAAAAGGCGATTATGGACGAGTTTTATTCTAAAGCCGATGTCAATTACTCGCAGGCTCGTAAAATCCCGACGTCGCCAAGAAAGAATAAAAATGACGATCCGAACTCGTCGTACTCGACACCGACTTATCTAATCAAGCATCGTCGCCACGTCGAAATGGAGGAATTTGTAGATCATAATGAATCGAAAATGAACCTAGCTATTCCGAAAGAGTTGGTAATAGAGATTGACTTACCTCTTTTAAGATCGTCGACGGACGTCGTCTTAGACGTTTCGGAAAAAAGCTTGCAGTTAACTAGCGAAACACCGGCTAAGTACAATTTATTTATTACGCTGCCATATTGCTGTAATCACGATTCTGGCAATGCGAAATTTTTAAAGGACAAAAAGAAGTTAATAGTCACCCTACCTGTGATACTAAAACAAAAGCACCCCTTTGCAGCTGATATCACTAAAGATGATAGTGGTGTCGAAAGTGATCCCGGTTTTTCATCTATTAGTCCCACTGAGAATCTTGAACCAAAAACAAATGATACCTTTACATTTTTGGAGCCTACCGTGCCCTATGGCCTACCGGATTTTACAGTTCATGTACATAGCAACATGTTATCGGTTACATTAAATGTAAAAAATATCGATACTGGCTCTATCGAAAAGTTTATCGAGTCGTGTGGCTTTCATCTAAAATTTAACAGCATAAGCTCCGGATTCTATCCGACCCATTACGCATTTTATTTCAAACTTCTACATCATAAACTTGCTATCGACACCTTCGCCATCGAACCCTGGGATAACAATGTGGTCGTTCAAATTCGCATATGTTCGTCCGAAATGCCACTTCATTCCTATTTTTATGGAATAGATCGAAGCGATTTAACTAAAACGGATTTCGTAGAACCTTTGCTTATCCAAGACAACAATACAGCAGAGGTGGTGGAGAATGAGTTCGACAAAGCGGAAGAAGAACCCTGTCGTCCTACTCCATCGATACCTGCAACGTCTCATTCCGAGTCGAGCGGAGACGAAATTAGTGCAAGCTGCAGTCCGTGTAAGAGTAAAGGAATTTTAAAGGGTCTCGCGAAATTTCGTCAATTTGGCAGAAGTATTTCGGAATCTGGTTTGGACGAAGTGCGCGAACTGAACATCGAAACAAGCCGCGACTCTGTAATTCCCGAGGAGCAAGAGGTATCTACGAGTTTAAAAAAAACTGTTCGTTTTAATGATGTCGTTTCTAGGCAATTATTTCGGTAAGCCGATGTTGCGTTTTTCACAAAAGTTAACATTTTTAATTTGTAGATCAAATTCGACCATTTTAGAGCAAAGGAGAAAGAAAAACTGGCGAGCGAAAGCCAAAAAACGTGCCCAAAGGAGGAGACACAGTGAAAGTGAAGTTGCCGATGCTGGATCCAAAACGGAATACACTAGCTGCAGTAATTCTAGTGATAGTAATAATGATATATTTCATTTGGAAATGAATTAAATTTAATTTGTTGTTGAAACTTCTAATTCATTTTGAAATTCACATTTTATAATAATTGTTAAGTCTGTACTAGCTAAACCAGTGAATTTTTGTAGTCTTAGAAAAAAAAGGAGTACAAGTATTGGTTTTGGTTGTTACAATTAATACCTCTATATGTTACTGCAATATGGATCAATTGAAGGAAATGCATTTGTAAATTAAGTCATTTGCGCGAGACTTTTCCCACAGAAAACTCGCGTGAAAGATTTGGCTTCCTTCAGAGTATTAGATTCGAATTTTTCGACTGTGGAGAATGAAGTTCCCTTTCTTCCAAGTAAGAATTACCCACTATCATGGATTTGTATCGCCCTTTGACATTCTTCTCGATCAGTGCCTAGATAATGCCATACTCTTTATAACGCTCGTCATGTCTCCCTGTCGCTTGTGCTTAAAACTCTGGTGATTAACACACCAATCGTGGGCCTCTTCTACATCTTCCAACATGAACTAGTAGCCCAATCTTGGAACTGTTTGAAATTATGGATTCTACAGGCCACATACTATAAGAAAATTTTTTTTCCGGGTCGATCTGAGACAATTTCTTTTGAGGGCCTCAAAAAAAGGCAGTGTATATATAACCTTCCTCTTTTTCCAAAAATCGACTGCACCAAAATTTCTCGGGAAAACACTTTTTCGTATTAATTTTGGTGCGTAGAATCCAAAACAATTCGTACTTTTTCGATCAGACTTCTCAATCAAAAGTTATAGACTAGAAAACCAATTTCGAAAAAAAATTCAAAGGGCTGTAACTTTTGAACTAGTAGCCCAATCTTGGAACTGTTTGAAATTATGGATTCTACAGGCCACATTCTATAAGAAAAAATTTTTTCCGGGTCGATCTGAGACAATTTTTTTTGAGGGCCTCAAAAAAAGGCAGTGTATAACCTTCCTTTTTTACCAAAAATCGACTGCACCAAAATTTCTCGGGAAAACACTTTTCCTTATTAATTTTGGTGCGTAGAATCCAAAACAATTCGTACTTTTTCGATCAGACTTCTCAATCAAAAGTTATAGACCAGAAACCAATTTCGAAAGAATATTCAAAGGGCTGTAACTTTTGAACTAGTAGCCCAATCTTGGAACTGTTTGAAATTATGGATTCTACAGGCCACATTCTATAAGAAAATGTTTTTTCCGGGTCGATCTGAGACAATTTTTTTTGCGGGCCTCAAAAAAAGGCAGTGTATAAACCTTCCTTTTTTACCAAAAATCGACTGCACCAAAATTTCTCGGGAAAACACTTTTTCTTATTAATTTTGGTGCGTAGAATCCAAAACAATTCGTACATTTTCGATTTGACTTCTCAATCAAAAGTTATAGACCAATTTCGAAAGAAAATTCAAAGGGCTGTAACTTTTGAACTAGTAGCCCAATCTTGGAACTGTTTGAAATTATGGATTCTACTGGCCACATTCTATAAGAAAAAAATTTTTCCGGGTCGATCTGAGAAAATTTTTTTTTCGGGCCTCAAAAAAAGGCAGTGTATAACCTTCCTTTTTTACCAAAAATCGACTGCACCAAAATTTCTCGGGAAAACACTTTTTCTTACTAATTTTGGTGCGTAGAATCCAAAACAATTCGTACTTTTTCGATTAGACTTCTCAATCAAAAGTTATAGACCAATTTCGAAAGAAAATTCAAAGGGAAACTTTTGAACTAGTAGCCCAATCTTGGAACTGTTTGAAATTATGGATTCTACAGGCCACATTTTATAAGAAAATTGTTTTTCCGGGTATTCTGCCCAGCTCTGCTAGATACAGATATATTTCAACGATTGTATCAAGATACATTAAATGTATCTGTATCTAGATACAGATACTTAGGTATATTTTGTATCTAGTGCAAATAAAGAAGTGCCTGGAATTGAGTTTTAAAAATATTTACATCTAACAGTTTGAGATTGAGTAAAAAGGTGATAACTAGGTACCTTGAAACTCAATTTCAATTCAATTCAAGGCGCTCAGGTACAATGAAAAATGATATCGTTACATTTTTTCAAAAGTAGATATATCATAACATGGATCCAAATCGCCCAGGAAACTGAAAGTCAAACGTGTGGTTCCAAATTTATAGTGCTTTCTATTATAAAATAAATATTATAATCGTGATAAATTTCCGGTATGCTAATATTTAGGCATTCCTTTACGATTTTGACATGTAGAATCCAAATCGCCTAGAAAATTCAAAATCGTAGTCGTCTCGCAAAAGTGATAGAGCTTTTTGTGTTTTTTCACTTCCGCATCGGGATCATTAGGTTGGAGAACCCTTGGCTGACCGCTGAAGTGCGTTGGGCCTTGAAGGGACTACTTGTTTCAAAACAGAAGACCTATCAAATGTCCCTCGTATCTCTTTACCTTGCGCCAAACACAAGGCTTGTGCGCAACTTGGGTTGCCTATCATCCGTCATCATATTTCAGTCCACAGATTATCACGAGATGGCACTACTAATAGTTCAACAGATATTACCAGGGGCTAACAAAAAATGCAAGTACCATGGACCAACTCGAACGTACAGAGTGCGCGCGCGTTGTTTTCGTTTAAAGTTGCTGTTAATTTCGCGAGATATTTTTGATGCTTTCAAAAGAAGTACAATGGAAGAATCGATAGATAATTTATTCTCCTGCTTCGAAGAGAGCGAAGAGCCCGCTACTGAAACCGACGTGTCCCTTAACTTCAGATCGAACACGGACACAACAGACGAGTAAATATTCGCCATAACCTTAAATTAACACGCTTGTGTTTCACAAATCTTTTTCAGGTCGGAAAGTAAGGGAATTAAGCGTAAATCTGACAATGACGAGAGGACACCCAGTAAGCAGCTGCGAGTGGACGACGAAATCGCCGTAGACGATATAAAGTTAGCTCCCCTCACTTTTCCATTCCCGCATTACAACTTCGTTTTGTAGCTTTGACGAATTCAAAAATAGAATTGTAGTACACGCAATCGAGTCCTTAGAGTCTTGCACTCACGAAGTGGCGTACCCACCCGGTCAACAGTACGTTCCATTAATCGAAAACGGAGGCGAACCTGCGAAAGTATACCCTTTCGTTTTGGACCCGTTTCAAAAAGAATCCTTGTTATGTATCGACAACAATCAATCGGTACTGGTATCCGCGCATACGTCAGCCGGAAAAACTGTCGTCGCAGAGTAAGTTTGCATTTCTCCTTTTGATAAGTGGCAATTGCAATTTATTGTAGGTATGCTGTTGCTATCTCACTTAAGAAAAAGCAACGTGTGATATACACAACTCCAATAAAAGCATTGTCCAATCAAAAATACAGAGAATTCTACGACGAATTTAAGGATGTTGGACTTGTAACGGGCGATGTTACTATTAACCCGACCGCTTCGTGTTTGATTATGACAACTGAGGTATGTTGGCGTAATTTAAAGTCGGTGAACTCATTCTGTATGTTTGCGAGTGGGGTCTTTTGAGAGAGAAGAGCTAACCTTTTTGTGTAGGAGTGTAATGTTTTTTATGACACAAACGGCCGGTTGCAGGAAAGCAAATTATAATCAATATCCTACATTATTTGCCAAATCTGAGCTTAAACAAGAATTTTGACATTTGATTGGCTGCATACTGCAGTATAAAGCCAATCAAATGTCTTAATACTAGGATTAAACAATGATCCTGGATTATTGTTTTTTGTGCAACTGGCCGTGAGTGCCTTAGATCTAACGACGCAGGGTACTGTGGGATTCTCCTTCCCATCCAGGTTGGCCACTAAAACCACTCTTTGACCTAGCTTGATTACCGGCAGGAACTGTTTTCCCGTATATTTTGTATCATTCCAAAGTTATTTATTGACATCAAAATGGGACACCCTGTACATTCAAAAATAATTTCTGTAGATCCGCAACCACCAATATTTTTTTAATTCTTTTTAAATAGAACATCCTGCATATTTTTACTTGTTTCAATGCCATTTGTTCAAAGTGCTATAACTATTCTTTTTCAAATGGAACTACCACTATTTTATTTCGCTATTCGATTGTCTTTTGTGTTCTCTTCAAGGGGTGCCCTGTGCTTAAATTCCGTAGTTTTTATGTTATTCAATATTTTTCACAAAAGTACCTACTCATTAATTACTTACGTGTTTATACATCGGAGTAGGCTGCTATAATAACAAAAACAAAAGAATACCAGAAAGTAAACAAGTGTCACAAATTAAATAATTATTTGCTGCAAGTGTACTTTTGATTTCGTAAACAAATAAGATTAATTAAAAAGGCGAATTTCGAACAAATGAATTAATTTCTTTAGATAAATACGGAGAGCCGCAACTTTATATCAAAATCCATGGTCTATGGCCATTCCTAGGTATTTTATGTCTCTCTGAACGTTTATCTCTTTTCCTAGGAGGACTAAGGAGCTCTTGTCTCCTTTTTTGTGTTTTTTTGTTACTATTTTTTGTATGTTCTGCAGTATTTGTTTGATTTCTTTCGGGCTGATCGTGTTCCTAGCCCGGTTCCATCCCCTTTTCCTTACAACAGGCTTCCATCTTTTTAAAAAGCATGCCGTCTACTTCACTCGTTACCTATCCCTATCCCCTATCCCTATTGTTGGTTTTTTAGCGCATTTTTTAAGAATTAAAAAAATGTGCTATTGTTTGTGTTTTGTTCGTACTTTTAGGGGAATGGTTCTAGAGTCAACTGTTTTCTACCAACTACCGCCCTACTTTCTGACCCCTTATCAAAAGAGGGAATTTGGGGACCCCGGGGGGGGATTGAACTAGTTTTATTGTTCATGGTACTCTAATGAAAGGTCTCAACGAAAGGAATTAACTTATACCAATTTCTCCTCAATTCCTTATCATGATCTAACAAGAAAAAAACATTGTGACAATTTATTTTTAGATTTTACGAAACATGCTGTACAGAGGATCTGAAATCATGCGTGAGGTTGGCTGGGTCGTTTTTGACGAAATTCACTACATGCGTGACAAGGAGCGCGGTGTCGTTTGGGAAGAGACACTAATACTGCTGCCGCACAACGTGCGCTTTGTGTTTCTCTCCGCGACCATACCGAACGCGCGCCAGTTCGTGGAATGGGTCGCGCATTTACATCAACAGCCCTGCCACGTCGTTTACACCGATTATCGGCCGACACCTTTACAACACTTCATCTTTCCCGCGGGCGGACAGGGAATTCACATGGTCGTTGATGAGACGGTGGGCGATTTTCCCCCGATTGGCGGTTACTAAGTTTCAGATTTTAGGGTACTTTTAAGGACGAAAATTTTAATACGGCCATGTCAGTTTTGCAAAGCGTCGGCGATGCCGGTAAAGGTGATCAGAGAGGACGAAGAGGCGGAGTTGCCGGTAAAGATCCGTCGCAGAGCAACATATTTAAGATTGTTAAAATGATTATGGAAAGAAACTTTGCGCCGGTTATCGTTTTTAGTTTTAGCAAGAAGGACTGCGAGGCTTTTGCGATGCAGATGACCAAGCTAGATTTTAATACAAGTTTGTATAATAACACATTGTACGAAGGTGTAGAAGGGTCACTTGTAGATCTTATTTTGTATTCAGACAAATATTAGAAAGGTCTGGAATGAGCACAAAGTTTTGGAAGGGCGCTAAAATGCTCCAAAGTCTTTTAGGTTCCTTCACTTGCTTCAGCTTCTCTCCTCTTAGGCACACAGCTACATCTTCTGTATATGTATGTGATGCTACATTCATTAAATATTATTTCTTCTTAGCTATCTTGTTCTAATTTGAATTATAATTTTTGTGCAAAACGAAGGTTTAATTTTCTTCAGATGAATTTTAACACAACTAGTTCCATGCTAACGCTGCAACGAGGCAGTTTGATCAAACTGTCATACTTTTGTTCATAACAAAAGAAGAACCGTTTTCTTTTTCCAAAGCACTCTTCGCAAAAACGAAAAATTGTATTTTTAGGAAATGTCGATACTAAACCATCATGTTGTGATACACAAATATATATATTTTATTTTTACATTTTATAGCAGATGTTAAATTGGCATTTTAATAAGTTTGAATGAGTAGGCAAAAGTTGTTAACTTGAAAGTCGAGACAGGAGTTTACCTGACAACTACCATGAAATATTTTCATTAATTTGTTCCATTTTACACAATTAAACACCTTCTCCATGTCAACGTCACTTCTCCAATTGTTTGGACAACCGCACTCGCGTCTTTTGTATCCTCTATTTTTCTTCCGCTTTAGAAACCTTAACAGTACATTTGCAGCATGCACAACCAAGCTAATGCTTCACATTTCTTAGTATTTGGGTTGATCTTTTCAATTTTGAAAAAAAATTTAACAAAATATACGCCCCAATTCAAGTCTGAATACAAAAAAATCTATGTGGCTCTTGTAAGCCTTCGTAACATCCGACTATCTCACTTTATGCTTTTAGCTGCCGAAAAACAATTAGTCGACGAGGTGTTCGCTAACGCCATGGACGTTCTCTCTGACGAAGATCGTCACTTACCTCAAGTAGACAATCTACTTCCACTTTTACGACGTGGCATTGGTATCCACCACGGCGGTTTATTGCCGATTTTAAAGGAAACAATCGAGATTCTTTTCGGCGAAGGATTAATCAAGGCACTATTTGCGACCGAGACGTTCGCGATGGGCCTGAATATGCCCGCACGTACCGTTTTATTTACGGGGATGCGTAAATTCGACGGCAAGGAATATCGATGGGTTAGTTGCGTTTTGTTTACGAGAAAGTTGTACAAGTTCGCTTTTAAGATTACTTCTGGGGAGTACATTCAAATGTCCGGTCGTGCCGGTAGAAGAGGGCTCGACGATAAGGGTATCGTTATATTAATGGTCGACGAGAAGGTTCCTCCGGCTGCCGGTCGAGACATTGTGAAAGGGGCACCCGATCCCATTAACTCTGCTTTCCATCTTACATATAATATGGTCCTGAATCTGCTGCGCGTCGAAGAAATTAATCCCGAGTACATGCTGGAGCGCTCGTTTTACCAGTTTCAAAATCAAGCGGCCATTCCTGGATTGTACGAAAGTATGTTTTGTGTTCGTTTGACACCTTATCTTGAGGTCTCTCCGTGTTTCAGAGTACAACAGCGCTTTAAACCAATATAACAACTTTGATATCAAGAACGAAGAGAAGATTCAGTCTTATTATCTCATACGCAAAGAACTAGATGCATTGGCAGTTACTTTTAGGAGATATATTACCAAGTCGCAGTATCTGATTCCATTTTTGCAGCCGGGGCGACTTGTCAAGGTACGTACCGCGACCATTCCGCACATGGTTCTTTGAATAAAACGGTACCTATTGGATATTATAATTGAAAAAAAAGATGTGTACAATCTGTGGAAGTATGGAGTACTTTCGGTATTATTGGTGCCGTTAAAAGAGGGCGTGCAAGTTGCAGGAAAAATTAAATACCATTTTTAATTTTTTGCAAAGAGTGCTTTGGAAAAACAAAACGTTCCTTCTTTTGTTGTGAATAAAAGTTTGACAGTTTGATCAATCTGTCTGGTTGCAACTTTGACATGGACCTAGCTGTGTTGATAAAATTCGATTGTGATCTGAACAAAATTAAACCTTGGTTTTGTAAACAAATTATAATTCAAATTAGAACAAAATACCTACATAAGAATAAATAATATTTGACGAATGTAAACATCACAACATGTGTTCCAATTGTCCACTTTCTAATTCTAAGCACAAAGATTTGGTTTAGTCCAGGAAATAGAGACTGAAAATCAGGGGCGGACTGGGTACTTACGGGCCAGGCGGAATTGCATAGATTACAGGCCATTAAAGTATTACTGTAGTAATGAAGGTGGCGGGGGGGGGGGGGGTTTAGCTCTGAGGTGCACCACAAAAACATTTTAAAGTACTCCTTTCTCGAAAATCAATTACCATACAGTTTTCTTTTAAAATTGCAGCTGATAATTAAAAGTAACAACATATACAATCCACACGAGGTGCGTCGCCTATCATTGTATTTCAGCACTTTCATGCTACGACAAAAAATGATAAATTCATTGTAAAACACTTCAATTAAAACAGAATTTTTTAACAACCTAACATCAACCCCAATTAGAGAAACGTGTTAATAATTTATTAATAGTGCAAGAAACTAAATACAGCACATACTTATAAATTTCCAACGGGCCGTTATGATCTACAGGCCAGGTGGCAATCGCCACCCGCCCCCGCCCCCCCGGGCCAGGCCGTCCCTGGTTATACACTGCCTTTTTTTGAGCCAAAAAAAAAATTGTCTCCGATCGACCCGGAAAAAAATTTTCTTATAGAATGTGGCGTGTAGAATCCATAATTTCAAACAGTTCCAAGATTGGGCTACTAGTTCAAAAGTTACAGCCCTTTGAATTTTCTTTCGAAATTGGTTTCTAGTCTATACCTTTTGATTGAGAAGTCTGATCGAAAAAGTACGAATTGATTTGGATTCTACGCACCCAAATTAATAAGAAAAAGTGTTTTCCCGAGAAATTTTGGTCTAGTCGAACTTTGGTAAAAAAGGAAGGTTATACACTGCCTTTTTTTGAGCCTCGAAGAAAAATTGTCTCAGATCGACCAGGAAAAAAAAATTCTTATAGAATGTAGCCTGTAGAATCCATAATTTCAAACAGTTCCAAGATTGGGCTACAAAATTTTTTAACAACCTAACATCAACCCCAATTAGAGAAACGTGTTAATAATTTATTAATAGTGCAAGAAACTAAATACATCACATACTTATACATTTCCAACGGGCCATTATGATCTACAGGCCAGGTGGCAATCGCCACCCGCCCCCTCGGGCCAGTCCGCCCCTGCTGAAAATGGACCATTTCCTGCAAAACGAGAAGTTGTTCCAATTTTTTTTGCATATCATGAAAGAATATCTGGTGGTTAAGAATCCAAGTTTTAGACCTCCCACCCCTTGTGCTTCTTCCGTACCACCCTTAAAACCAAAGAAATTTGGTTGGTTTTTTAGTTTTTCAATCATATCTTTTTATAGGTTCATTTTACAAAAAAATATTGTTATCAGAAATTGTAGACCATAAAATTCTACACAACTTTTATATGCACTACTTTTTTGTGAAATGTTTATTAAAAAAGATATAGAGCTTGAGAGTTAGTTATATTTTTAAGAATTCTGAAATTTCTATGTAGACGTTTTAACTAAATTTCATACTTTATCTCTATAATTAAGAGTTTTATGAGAAAATATCTTGAACTTATCGTGGTATAAATCCCTCTACTCTGCACCCTTACCAAAGGGGATGCATAATAATTCAACTTTCAAACCTTGCTAGTGGGGATATTTGAATCATTGTGAGATTGTAGAGCTTTCTAATATACGTTTGAAACAAAAAAATTATCTCACTTCAGTTCAGCTTCATCCTTTCAAGCCCCTTCCCCCAACGGCGGTAGGAATAGATATTTAAAGAGAAATAGAAAACATGTAATAAGCGTTGTATTCTCTGACTAACTTCACAATCGCCACAAGAGCGTTTAAATATCTATTCCTTACCGCGCGAGGGGAGGGGGTGAAACTGAACTGAAGTGAGACAATTTTTTAATTTCAAAAGTATATTAGAAAGCGCTACAATCTCACAGTGATTCAAATATCCTCACTAGCAAGGGTTGCAAGTTTCATTATTATGCATCCCCTTTGGTAAGGGTGCAGAGTAGAGGGATTTATACCACAATAAATTCACTATATTTTCTCATAAAACTCTTAATCATAGAGATAAAGTATGAAATTTGGTTAAAACATCTACACAGAAATTTCAGAATTCTTAAAAATATAACCAACTCTCAAGCTCTAAATCTTTTTTAATAAACATTTCACAAAAAATTAGTGTATATCAAAGTTGTGTAGAATTTTATAGTCTACAATTTCTGATAACAATATTTTTTTCTAAAGTGAACCATTAAAAAGACATGATTGAAAAACTAAGAAACCAACCAAATTTCAGGGGTTTTAGGGTTGGTACGGGGGAAGCATAAGGGGTGGGTGGTCAAAAACTTACAATCCTAACCACCAGATGACTAGATGCAAAAGAAATTGGAACTACTTCTCATTTTGCAAGTTAAAACCCTCTATTCCCTGGACTAGTATGGCTGGTTTAAATTTCATTTTCTATCGCCCCCCACAAAAATAGTCCAAGCGTGACAGATGGTCGCCTTTTGTTTTTTTCAGATTATTATGCACCACGAAAATTTGCAACTTTGTCCTTGTTTATCCTTATTTCTATCTGTTAAGATAAGCGAGATCCCCATAGTGGCACTAGAAAATTGGACACAGTGTATATGAAATGATCTGAAATTGTAGAATGTGGCACAAAATGGAATTTTGCGCAATTTTATCACTTTGAATTAATTAGTAGGTTTTGGCTTTGATCTAACAGAAGCCAATAAACAAATCATATCGGATTGTAAAAAAATAAATTTGTTTTATTTTCTAAAAAACCTTTTATGTTTTGCACATTCCAAACTACGTCTATACTTATTTTCCTCTGAAAAATTTATCTATAAGGATCAAGGTATTTCCATTAAAAAATTTTAGCATTTTTAAAAGCTGAGTATTTTGATTGCAACTTGGCAATTGGCGAGTCTTGCAAGGGGGTTATAAATTTAAAACAATTAGTGTGGTACTATCTGTCAAGTTAGCCTTGAATATCATTTGTTTTTGTTCTATAAAAAATCAACGCCTACTGATAGCGAAGAGTTTTGGAATGCCGCACAATTTCATTTCTAAAATTTAATTTTTGTCTCACTCCCAGTTTAGACTAGAGGGCAATTTATCTTGCAAAGAGGTACAAATTTCGTGTGGGTCACTGAAATTTTAGCCGATTTTAATGGCCCAGTCCCGCATCGAATTTTTGTTATAACTTTGTATTTTGTTTTGCAAACTAGCAAGAGAAAGAACGTCTTGTCATCGGTTTAGGTTAGTGTAAAATTTCTGCTGATCTTCAATTTACTTGGAGCCTCCGTCTATGTTTTGGAAATTTTTACAGGGCGTGGGAAATGTTTTTATCTTGGCTTAAATGTGTACCCCAATTTTTATTTCCCTTCAGTAGATTTTCTAATGTTATTTATTGAAAATTGATTAATTAGTAATAGCATCCTGTTTGCATTCCCACAATTTATCTATTAAATAATTTTCAAACTGCATAAACTTCTTTTATCTTAATTAAAGATAGTCGGTAATATGATAGGTGCATCCTGCTTTCGAAGGTTGCCGTAAACAAAACTGCCGATAAAGCTGATTCATCAGATTCTTGGCGTCGCCAATTTATGGCTCTCACACTTTGATAATGTAAACAAATCGGCCCACTTTGATAATTGAGCAATGCGCGTGTTTAGATAAAAACGGAAGATGCCGAATACGATTGGGGGATGATAGTCAACTTTAAGAAGGTAGCCGCCGACAAGAAGGGAAGATCCAACCCCTTGCACTCTTCGACTAAGGTCCAAGTCGACATACTCCTCAACATTCTTCCCACCAAGGACGAGAATAGCAAAGATTCGATTCCGAAGCCTTGTCCCGAGGGGCAGGTATTCCTCTCGCTACCCGCAGTCAATTTTATTACCGCTTGATCTTGCAGGCCGGCGAGGTCGAGGTTGTCGCGGTCTGTTCAACGTTGATAACCCACATCTCGTCCGTACGACTGTACTGCCCCCACGATCTTCGATCGAACGACAGCCGGAAAGGCATGCTGAAAGCTTTGAAAGAAGTTAAAAAACGATTCGATAAACCGGGGCCTCCCTTACTCAATCCCGTCAGTGACATGAAAATCAAGGATCCCGAGTTTCTCGAGGTCGTTAAAAAAATCGAACATCTCGAAAAGAAGTAAGTCGTCCTTTATTCGTCGTAAAAGTAAAAAGATCGCTTGCAGAATGTACGAACATCCCATGCACGACGATCCGTCTTTAAGCGAAGAGTATTCGAGATACGAGAAGAAAGTCATTTGCGAGGACGAGCTCGCCGTGGCCAAGCAGAAGTTGTCCGAGGCGAAATCGGTTTTGCAACTCGACGAGTTGAAGTGCCGCAAGAGGGTGCTTCGACGGTTGGGTTTTTGCTCTAACGCTGACGTTATCGAGTTGAAGGGAAGAGTCGGATGCGAGTTGAGCAGGTACGATCGCGTCTCGTTGTTCGGAGAATTGCATTTTCTTTACAGCTCGGACGAGTTGCTTCTTACCGAGATGATTTTCAACGGGGTGTTTGGCCAGTTGACGCCCGCCCAGTGCTGTGCCATCCTCAGCTGTTTCGTCTGCGATGAGAAATGTTCCGAAGCGCCTAAGCTCTGCGAGGACCTGTCGGGACCATTAAGGCAAATGCAGGTGGGTGATTAAGATAAAATGATAATTAGACACATTAATGAGGCAGGTAAAGATAGGATTTTGAATAACAAAAGAAGTAATTTTATGATGATTAACATAAACAATGGACGGGCGATTTTGGGGTCATTAACTAAATTGACTTTAACCATTAATGACCCAAATGTCATTTCCATTGTTTATTACATATTTGGGGTGGCATATTTAGAAATCTTAAAATAGCGCCCTTTGAAGACTTGTCGCACCTGTTACAGCAATTCCAATTTTCTGTTTCGGGGGTAAGTTTTCACCCTTTTGAGCTTGCATAAAACGGCTACCAATTCTTTATCCATTCTTAGTGAATGCCTTATTTTCTTGGAAAATTAAATGTGCTACAGAATGGAATGAGCTTTCATTTTTTAACGGGCCGGTCTTCCTTTTCAATTTGCTGGAATTTAACAAAGCGACTTTGACCACCAGGAAATGGCGCGACGCATCGCAAAGGTGAGCAACGAGGCCCGTTTAGATTTGGACGAGGAGTCCTACGTCGAAAAATTCAAGCCATCTCTTATGGACGTGGTTTTCGCGTGGTGTAACGGGGCGGTTTTTAGCGAACTATGTAAAATGACCGATATTTTCGAGGGTTCAATTATAAGATGCATGAGACGGTTGGAGGAGTTGCTTAGACAGATGGTGCAGGCCTCGAAGACGATTGGCAACACAGATTTGGAGGATAAGTTTAATACCGCGATTAAAATAATTAAAAGAGACATTGTTTTCGCGTCTAGTCTTTATTTATAATCTTTTTTTTAAATAAAATTTTGTATTGTTTGAAGTAAATTTTTAATAAGTTGGGAGTGGGACTGCGCAATAGTTATCCCTTCCCCTACTTGTGCGAGCATAAATTGTCGGACGCAGCGCGCCGAAGCGCAAGTCTTCGCTTAACCGTGCGTTCGTGAGTAATTCAGTCTAAAGCGGTAAGAGTTGTGCAGGTATGACTCAATTTTATTTTACATTTTTTGTCCTGTTTTTTTGTAATTGTAAACTTAAACGGTAGCGTGTTCAAGGGGTGCTATGCAGAATTTTACAAAATCATAGTACGTTTTGAACTCGCTACCGTTTTTTGTTTCAATCGGCTGCTGCTGCTATTGTAAAATTTAAATTGCGCTTTATGTATGTGTTGTTTACTTTGGTGGTCTAGCCGTGTGATTTTGTTTTGCATTTCGTGCGGTTATTCCACCATTTTAAATAATGCGTATCCAATTCAACGGACTTGGACTTCTCGCCAATTTTTGTAAGGTAACTGTTTCTGTGGTGCCCGTAACGAAGGGTATCACAGTCTCAGTTATCTATACAACGGTTGGCACAACTCATCAGAAGAACCTTTCATCAACGCGGATCAACTATCACTTGCGTTGCGGGTGTTTAGTTCTAGTCACATTGATTTTGAAATTTGTGACTAGAATGAACATTCGCATTGCGAGTGACAAATTCGTCGAAGATTATCGATTGATCGATCGACTGGTAGATTTTACATTGCTAATTAAGCTTTTTTGGTTGCATTCCAAGTCCATAAAGCTCAGTCAGCAATGCATGATGTACTAGAAATCCCTTTATCCTTGAAAGGGTGAGGCAACTTCTTGGAATACTGAGTGAGTTTATCATGCTGAGTTTTTGTTCACTTAGGTAAACAAAACTGGTTCATTTCTTTGCAATTTTTACCTGCTTTAAAATTATTGGAATTTGTACTTGTTTCGTTAAGCTAATAACGGCGGTAGGTACCTTCTCCGCTTTGGTTTTTATTCTGATTTGTTGCAGAGCACCAGTTTTAATTCGATCGATCACATCCGGACGTTTCCTGATCACTTTTTTGAAAATTTGAAAAACTGTTTTAGCAAGAAGACTCGAGTGAAGTGGTAAAACGGCATTTTGTAAAATTTATTTGCTCGAGCCGAGTTGATGTGGCAAAATCTCTTCGTAACTATAAGGGTAAGAAACGAAAGTGTGATTTGTCGTGCCATTAACTTTGCCTTTTTGCAGGGTCCGGTACTATCCCCGCTTGTCCTGTGTACGATACAATTGGTAAAGAACACCTGAATCGATCAACAACAACTGGCAACTTCGATTTATTTACCGTTCTATCGATTTATGTATTGTAAATATTTGTTATGTCGCAACATTACTATTTTTTAATAAATGTAATTTTTTGAATTTGAAGAATTTTAATACTTTGAAGGCGACCATTAGCTAGCAACAAAGATCCTACTAGAATAAAAGTGATACAATTTAGAACTTTGTATAGATACTTTATTTGTGTTTTACATATGGCGTTATACGATTGTCATTTCCAATGTCTCCGATGGTTGGTATTGGTTTTCGAGGCCTCTAGGGCTATGCATTTACGGGCCCCTTTCCCTTGGCTTTTTCTGCTTTAATGGATGAGACTACTATTTTAAAAAGACTTAAATAAGTATCCGCAAATAAAGTAAGTATTTGTGACTTGACAAGAAAGACGTGCCGACGACGACCTCATCTGTAACAATTCGACGCGCATAGCTGGCGAAAGTTTAAAGCGTCCGGTTATCTGACGCCACCGTCGCTTTTTAGTTCATCGAGATTTCACCAGGGGCTTAAATGGCGCCACCGTCGCTTTTTAGTAGTAGTAGTCAATTTTCTTTCGAAATTGGTTTCTAGTCTATTGAGACTTTTGATTGAGAAATCTAATCGAAAAAGTACGAATTGTTTTGGATTCTACGCACCAAAATTAATAAGAAAAAGTGTTTTCCCGAGAAATTTTGGTGTAGTCGATTTTTGGTAAAAAAGGAAGGTTATACACTGCCTTTTTTTGAGCCCCGAAAAAAAATTGTCTCAGATCGACCCGAAAAAAAATTTTCTTATAGAATGTGGCCTGTAGAATCCATAATTTCAAACAGTTCAAGATTGGGGTACTAGTTCAAAAGTTACAGCCCTTTGAATTTTTGTTCGAAATTTGTTTTTTGTCCATAACTTTTTATTGAGAGGTCTAATCGAAAACGTACGAATTGTTTTGGATTCTACGCACCAAAATTAATAAGAAAAAGCGTTTTCCCGAGAAATTTTGCTGTAGTCGATTTTTGGTAAAAAAGGAAGGTTATACACTGCCTTTTTTTGAGGTCCGCAAAAAAAATTGTCTCAGATCGACCGGGAGAAAAAATTTTCTTATAAAATGTGGCCTGTAGAATCCATAATTTCAAACAGTTCCAAGATTGGGCTACTAGATCAAAAGTTACAGCCCTTTGAATTTTCTTTCGAAATTGGTTTCTAGTCCATAACTTTGATTGAGAAGTCTAATCGAA